CGCATTTCAAAAAATAAAAATGAAAACAAACAAACAAAAACTAGCAGTTAACTATAAATGCATAGATCCACCGAAAATCTGATTGCTAGAATCACCTTTACACTAGCATGACATCTTTCATAATGAAAAAAAAAAAAAGTTGAATTTTAAAAATCAGAGACCCCAGTATGTAATTTTGATCACTAGATGTTCCATATGTGCCTTGTAATACTTGTTAGCTATTAATTTGAAATAATAAATGGACAGTGTGATTGAGAGTGAGCTGCTACTTGAAAGAATCACTAAACGTGGATCAGCTTAGCTTCCAGAGGCTGTGCCACACTTGAGGAGCATTGAGGATGGGAGGAAGGGGTGGTCCAGGGATTCCGCATCACATCTGAGCCTACTGACCTGGCTCTGAGCTGGGCTCAGCCACCCGACATGGGCAGGTCACCACTTCTCAGGGTCTTTGTTTCTTCCTCTGCAAACTATAGCAATACCGTTTAGGTAATTCTGAGGTCCCCGTAAGATTGACAGTACTGCTTTATAAGAGTAAAGAGGTACTCATAGATGGGCATATACCAGAAAGTATGTCTGACTTAACTCGGCTCCCCAGGCATTCTTTGGGCTATACTGTGGAACCCTTTCCTTCTCTCTTACTGCAAATTAGCCCTTAAGCAATTTGAAAATGGTAATATTTAATATTCACACACTTTATTTGTGAAGATTAATGAGGCTTATAAAATGGTTTTGAGCTTTTTGGATGAAAGGAACTCTAAACATGAAATTATATTAATATAACCTTTAACATGATCTTTTGGGTGAATAAATCATAGTGTTACTGACCACGGTTCCTATACATCCTGTAGTAATTATTCCTTATATGTGAGTGACTGTTGATATCCCTTGGGAAATTCTATTCACTGTAGAGTCAGGGCCATTAATATGAAACAAAATGTTAGTAATGCCACATGTGCCTTTGCACAATGGTTAGGCCTTATGGGGGGGAATATGCAAAACAAAGTGTTAGCATACTTTAAAAAGCAAACACAACATTCTAATAGAGGAGTTTACTTAATGAAAACACACTTTCAGCCAGAAAAGTGTATGAGAGGGAGAAAAATGAGGAAATTACAATTTGAACAGTAGTAGTAATGTCACTCTTCCTCAAGAAATAGGCAAATAATATTTAAAAATATGTAGCAATTACCAGTTAGCATATCTACCAGCTTGAATCCATCTGAGAGAGAAAGAACTGGGTTCTGTTTGCAGATAACTAAAAGCCAGAGAATATTTGCTTAAATCAGTTTGCTGTTCCAGTAAACATACTCACTGAAATGATTAAGATCACATCATCTACACAGACAAGTATGGCATTGTACTTAACTCTTTAATGAAACAGCAACATAAGTAGTTATACATAGTTATTTGGAAATCTTAATTTTATGTACCACTCAAAAAATTAATTCATTAGGACATTTGTGTGAATAAAAAGGCACTATATTAAATTACTATGTATACCCTGAAGCTATGTACATCTGTTATGCATCAATTTTTAAAATTATTTTTAGTTAATTAAAAGGTGCTTCAGTTAATTCAAAAGTGCTTTTGGCAGTGTATAGTAGTACTTGGGTGATTTGAATCTATCAGACATGCCATGAGCTGTTTTGAATTCACAAGTTTTCTAACTAGCTGAAAATTAGCACTTTAAGTGGAAGAAAAAATTTTAGTTGAAAATGTAAATACACGTCCTTGATTTCTTTTTTGTTTGTTTTTGAGATGGAGTCTCGCCCTGGCACCCAGACTGGAGTGCAGTGGCGCTATCTCG